CATTTAAATTTAATGTTATCTTGGAATGATTAAGCAAACATTTTTTTAAATATACATTCATTTCTCTCTCTCTGGTCTGGGACTTTTATCATACGGGTTTCGTTTTAGTTATATGCATGTAGATGTAGTATTTGTTGTAGTAGACCCAGTATCACATTTTCGCGGTCGCCACAGTTATCGTCATCTTCATCGCCATTGACTCTGTTCTACGGATTATGCATATGTACCTACCGACTTGCGTACACGATTTGTGTTCTTATCAAAAGCTGTTTTTAATAACGTTTTTGCGTTCTATGTTTTGCCTTTTTGGTATTTCGTTAAATATTCTCTTGAACTTGACTAATTATTAGTCACTAATTATTATCATTCTTATTATATTCAAAACCATTTATTTTATACATGAAATGAAGGATGTCAGTAGAAATGAATGTAACTAATGAAACTTGAATATCAAACATTTTATTACGTTAACCGATTTTTCCTTTAAGGAAGGAAGAATATCATGAGTGTAATTTCATGTTCATTTGAACATTGTGTGGAATAGTGTAACAATTCTGAAACTAATGGAAAAAGTAACAGTATAATATATTAGTCGATTTGCCGACAGGTGTACAGGGTGAGATAAAAAAAAACTGCAACAAAGTGCAAACGCCTTAATTTTACATTTTTTTAATTTATTGAATGAAAGCAAAAAATGTCGGAAATAGCATCAAATGTTTACAATAAGGTTAGATTTGTTCAATTCGTCACCTTTGTGCACGATTATGGCCTTTAGACAGACGGCCAATGAAACCGTCACACACTGCCCGAGTGTTGCTCTGCGGTTTTTGTGGCCCACTCCCGGCGAAGCGCTTGCTTGATGTGATGGACACTTTGGTATTTCTTAGTGCCAACCTTGCTGTCCAAATTCTCCAGACACAATAGTCCAATGGATTGGTATTCGGAGATTTTTGTGGCCATTTTGCGCTAGAAATGAAGCGAGCAACCTCATTTTGGAAGCATTCTTGGGTGGCGCGTGCTGAGTGCCATAGTGCTGAGTACTGTTGGAATGTCCAAGATCTGCAGCGCTTGAGTTTTGGTGGCCAACCGAAGGTGCACATTTTCAGCTGACCTCTTTGGCAAGTAAACACGATCATTTTGTTTGTTTACAAACTGCTGGACAACGAATGTTTTCTCATCGGAGAAAACCAAATTCGGCAGGTTCAACACTTTCGAAGCAAGCGAAGCAACTCTTTAGCTCTTTTAAGTCTATTTTCTTTCTGTTGCGGTGTAAGTTCTTGCACTTTATGGAATTTCAATGGCTTTATTCCGAGCTCATTTTTCAAAATTTGCCGATGGAATATTGCGATATGTTCAGCTCGAGATCCATTTTTCATGTCTGATTTCTGGTTAAGAGAAATATTTACATATAGCAAGTTGACAAGATAAAAGTATGTGCGTGAAAATAAATTTAAATTTAAATTCTACTACTTTGATTTTTCGCTTACCAACACTGGTTTTCTCTCAGAGATAAATTTAAATTTAACTACATTTTCGTGAGAGTAAATTTAAATTTAACTCAAAAGTGCTTGTGTTGTGAAAGAAAATAAAAAGTTAAAATTATGAAAATAATATAACAATAAATGTTATATGAATTGTATTAAAAATTAATAATTATAAAAACTTTGGCCAGACTTATATTTCCTATGGTCACTGTAGGATAAATGGGTTTGGACCCACTGTGGGAAAAATGGTTAGGGATGCACCTTTATGGAGTTAATTTTCGGAAAGAGCATCGAAAATGCTCCTAGACCACTTATTCTCAATAATCCAAACCCATCTGGAATTCCCAACTGTGGCCAGACTTATATTTCATATGGTCACTGTAGGAGAAATTGGTTTGGACCCACTGTGGGAAAATGGTTAGGGATGCGCCCTTATGGTGTCCATTTTCGGAAAGAGCACCGAAAATGCTCCTAGACCACTTATTCTCATAATCCAAACCCATCTGGAATTCCCACAGTGGCCAGATTTATATTTCATATGGTCACTGTAGGAGAAATGGGTTTGGACCCACTGTGGGAAAATGGTTAGGGATGCGCCTTTATGGTGTCCATTTTCGGAAAGAGCATCGAAAATGCTCCTAGACCACTTATTCTCATAATCCAAACCCATCTGGAATTCCCACAGTGGCCAGATTTATATTTCATATGGTCACTGTAGGAGAAATGGTTTGGACCCACTGTGGGAAATGGTTAGGGATGCGCCTTTATGGTGTCCATTTTCGGAAAGAGCATCGAAAATGCTCCTAGACCACTTATTCTCATAATCCAAACCCATCTGGAATTCCCCACAGTGGCCAGATTTATATTTCATATGGTCACTGTAGGAGAAATGGGTTTGGACCCACTGTGGGAAAATGGTTAGGGATGCGCCTTTATGGTGTCCATTTTCGGAAAGAGCATCGAAAATGCTCCTAGCCCACTTATTCTCATAATCCAAACCCATCTGGAATTCCCAGTGGCCAGATTTATATTTCATATGGTCACTGTAGGAGAAATGGGTTTGGACCCACTGTGGGAAAATGGTTAGGGATGCGCCTTTATGGTGTCCATTTTCGGAAAGAGCATCGAAAATGCTCCTAGACCACATATTCTCATAATCCAAACCCATCTGGAATTCCCACAGTGGCCAGATTTATATTTCATATGGTCACTGTAGGAGAAATGGGTTTGGACCCACTGTGGAAAATGGTTAGGGATGCGCCTTTATGGTGTCCATTTTCGGAAAGAGCATCGAAAATGCTCCTAGACCACTTATTCTCATAATCCAAACCCATCTGGAATTCCCACAGTGGCCAGATTTATATTTCATATGGTCACTGTAGGAGAAATGGGTTTGGACCCACTGTGGGAAAATGGTTAGGGATGCGCCTTTATGGTGTCCATTTTCGGAAAGAGCATCGAAAATGCTCCTAGACCACTTATTCTCATAATCCAAACCCATCTGGAATTCCCACAGTGGCCAGATTTATATTTCATATGGTCACTGTAGGAGAAATGGGTTTGGACCCACCGTGGGAAAATGGTTAGGGATGCGCCTTTATGGTGTCCATTTTCGGAAAGAGCATCGAAAATGCTCCTAGACCACTTATTCTCATAATCCAAACCCATCTGGAATTCCCACAGTGGCCAGATTTATATTTCATATGGTCACTGTAGGAGAAATGGGTTTGGACCCACTGTGGGAAAATGGTTAGGGATGCGCCTTTATGGTGTCCATTTTCGGAAAGAGCATCGAAAATGCTCCTAGACCACTTATTCTCATAATCCAAACCCATCTGGAATTCCCACAGTGGCCAGATTTATATTTCATATGGTCACTGTAGGAGAAATGGGTTTGGACCCACTGTGGGAAAATGGTTAGGGATGCACCTTTATGGAGTTCATTTTCGGAAAGAGCATCGAAAATGCTCCTAGACCACTTATTCTCATAATCCAAACCCATCTGGAATTCCCACTGTGGCCAGACTTATATTTCATATGGTCACTGTAGGAGAAATTGGTTTGGACCCACTGTGGGAAAATGGTTAGGGATGCGCCCTTATGGTGTCCATTTTCGGAAAGAGCACCGAAAATGCTCCTAGACCACTTATTCTCATAATCCAAACCCATCTGGAATTCCCACAGTGGCCAGATTTATATTTCATATGGTCACTGTAGGAGAAATGGGTTTGGACCCACTGTGGGAAAATGGTTAGGGATGCGCCTTTATGGTGTCCATTTTCGGAAAGAGCATCGAAAATGCTCCTAGACCAATGATTCTCATAATCCAAACCCATCTGGAATTCCCACAGTGGCCAGATTTATATTCATATGGTCACTGTAGGAGAAATGGGTTTGGACCCACTGTGGGAAAATGGTTAGGGATGCGCCTTTATGGTGTCCATTTTCGGAAAGAGCATCGAAAATGCTCCTAGACCACTTATTCTCATAATCACAACCCATCTGGAATTCCCACAGTGGCCAGATTTATATTTCATATGGTCACTGTAGGAGAAATGGGTTTGGACCCACTGTGGGAAAATGGTTGGGGATGCGCCTTTATGGTGTCCATTTTCGGAAAGAGCATCGAAAATGCTCCTAGAACCAAACCTATCCGAAAATCTCACAGAAGGCCGACTTAAATTTAATGTAGCCACCATTGTATTGTTCTTATTATTTTAAGTAAGCTCCAATTTTTTTTATTGATGTTCAACAAAAAATCTGCAATAGAATCCTGTGTTCATTTTAATTTTTTTTTTTGGCGTTTTTGGTGACAGATTGTTTGATTTTATAGTGTTTCTATTTTTCTGTTATCATCTTCTTTAACTATTTTCTCTGCAAGACCATAAAATAATTTTTTTTTTAAAGTTTGCTCTTCTGCTATTTTTGCAACTAAATAGTAAGGGAACGAAGCTCTTATGTAATGGCTAAGGCATTACTGTTACATTTTTTAACAGCTTACCAATTCGACTTCGACTTGTGCACACAACTGTCGTCTGTAATACCCTAATTATCTAGGTACATCTGCCATCTAATAACGTTGTAAAAAATCAGAAATATATTTTAAAAATAAACCACATTAAATTTGTATTATTCATTCATTTCCATCCACACACACATAAAAGGAAAGTGTTATATTGTTAATGTTGAAATCTTCTGCTTTGAATTTTATACGCTATATGTATTTCGGTTAAGTTTATATAATTACATATGTTAAAATGGTGCGGTGAATAGGGCAACAATTTACAATTTGTTAAAATGTTACTAATATTCTTCGTTATTACTATGGCAGATGCATCAACGCTTGGGAGCATTGATATGTCAAAAAAAATTAATGTTTTTTCAAATATAAGAAAATTTTATATGTTTTCTTGTATGACGTCATTCGGAGGTTCTTATAATTCGCATTTTTAAACAATTTTTACAAATTTAAATACATTTTCATTCAACATTTTCAATTCCAAATTGGGTTGACAGTTCATTGTCCCAGGGGCTGTGTCGATGCGTCTACCTATATTATTCTACCATGGTTGTTACCATACGTTACCACACGCAGCATTAGTAACTAAAAATTGCAACCCTGCTACATTTTTACAAGCCAACAAATTGACAACATTGTGGCGGCAAAAAATCAATAATTGTGATTGAATTGTGCTCAGTTGGCGGGGAAATAAACAACAAACGAACATCGGTTTTCAGACTAAAATTTTATAATATTTTGCTTTTCTTGCTGTCAATTCATGAAAATCGAAGAAATTAAAAGTAGCGTTCGCACCCACGCATATCATATCATAACAATATTAAAGGTTTGGGCATAAATGGCGAAGGTGCGGCATTGCCCATGACCGCTGGTTTGGTTGGACAAAATGTTGTCCGAGAAGCTGCTGTTATAGTTGCGAATTTGTAAAAAAAACAAGAAAATGCTGGTCTTGTCTCACAGCTGAGGTACCATCCGGTACGGGCAAAGCTGCAATTGCTCCAGCTATTGCACAGGAATTAGGCAATAAGGTTAAGGTAACATTCTGCACATGATGAGTTCGGAGATATTCCGCAGTGACACCTTTGCAACGGAATTGGATTTGGAGACCGAGGGTTGGTTGTGTTATATGGTAAGAAAAATAATATACTTTTTCGATTTTCCTTTGTTAACATTTTCGATTTCTTTGTTCACAGTGACACCACAGACACTGCCTCACCTCATGGCATTCCCTTGGATTTACCTGATCTATGGCTCATCATAGGCATCTTGCCATAGCATTCCAGTGAAATATGGAACAACTCATAATGTTAAATGGAGAACCTGCAATTTGAAGAGTCTGCCTTTAAACGTCTCAATGACGTTGACTGTCCAGTTGCATATTGATGATATCATGCCTTATTCTTGGGTGCAAGACGTTCATCTAAACGTCTATCCGAGAAGAATAATAAATGTATGATGAAATCTATGGAATTGACTCACACTGACATTATTTGCTATATTTCATACCTGTCACATTCCTTACTTACCCACATATTTTAGCAATAAAAAAACAATAGTTTGCCTGCCATTAATAGTGCATTTTTCCTTATGACTAAAGGCTCGATCAAGACGTATTTTCAAGGTGACTCAATAAGACCAACTGCCCTCATTTTTGGCTGCCAAAGCCCATTTAAAATAAATATCTCTATGTCGAAAAATAAACGTGGAAGTATCGACAATAAATTTCTTCAAAAAGTCCACAATTACGATCTCAAAATATTAAATTACACGCCATTTCGACTGAGAAGTGTGGCAAAATTCTTAGTGGACCTTCTATTCTTTTAAAAGCCCAATTGCCAAGTTGAAGTCAATTCGGATTCGAAACATTTTTGCTGGGAAGTAATTACACTTCAATTTTCGAGTTTCTTCTGGCACTTTATTTTAAATTTTATATACATGAGATACCGAAATGTATAATTTCAGCTCAGTCGGTTGAGAGTCATTCGATGAACGTCTTGCACCCAAGAATAGGCATGATATCATCAATATGCAACTGGACAGTCAACGTCATTGAGACGTTTAAAGGCAGACTCTTCAAATTGCAGGTTCTCCATTTAAAATTATGAGTTGTTCCATATTTCACTGGAATGCTATGGCAAGATGCCTATGATGAACCATAGATCAGGTAAATCCAAGGGAATGCCATGAGGTGAGGCAATGTCTGTGGTGTCACTGTGAACAAAGAAATCGAAATGTTAACAAAGGAAAATTGAAAAAGTATATTATTTTCCTTACCGTATAACACAACCAACCCTCGGTCTCCAAATCCAATTCCGTTGCAAAGGTGTCACTGCGGAACATCTCCGAACTCATCATGTGCAGAATGTTACCTTAACCTTATTGCCTAATTCCTGTGCAATAGCTGGAGCAATTGCAGCTTTGCCCGTACCGGATGGTACCTCAGCTGTGAGACAAGACCAGCATTTTCTTGTTTTTTTTACAAATTCGCAACTATAACAGCAGCTTCTCGGACAACATTTTGTCCAACCAAACCAGCGGTCATGGGCAATGCCGCACCTTCGCCATTTATGCCCAAACCTTTAATATTGTTATGATATGATATGCGTTGGGTGCGAACGCTACTTTTAATTTCTTCGATTTTCATGAATTGACAGCAAGAAAAGCAAAATATTATAAAATTTTAGTCTGAAAACCGATGTTCGTTTGTTGTTTATTTCCCCGCCAACTGAGCACAATTCAATCACAATTATTGATTTTTTGCCGCCACAATGTTGTCAATTTGTTGGCTTGTAAAAATGTAGCAGGGTTGCAATTTTTAGTTACTAATGCTGCGTGTGGTAACGTATGGTAACAACCATGGTAGAATAATATAGGTAGACGCATCGACACAGCCCCTGGGACAATGAACTGTCAACCCAATTTTGGAATTGAAAATGTTGAATGAAAATGTATTTAAATTTGTAAAAATTGTTTAAAAATGCGAATTATAAGAACCTCCGAATGACGTCATACAAGAAAACATATAAAAATTTTCTTATATTTGAAAAAACATTTAATTTTTTTTGACATATCAATGCTCCCAAGCGTTGATGCATCTGCCATAGTAATAACGAAGAATATTAGTAACATTTTAACAAATTGTAAATTGTTGCCCTTATTCACCGCACCATTTTAACATATGTAATTATATAAACTTAACCGAAATACATATAGCGTATAAAATTTCAAAGCAGAAGATTTCAACATTAACAATATAACACTTTCCTTTTATGTGTGTTGGAAATGGAAATGAATAATACAAATTTAATGTGGTTTATTTTTAAAAATATATTTCTGATTTTTTACAACGTTATTAGATGGCAGATGTACCTAGATAATTAGGGTATTACAGACGACAGTTGTGTGCACCAAGTCGAATTTTTGGTAAAGCTGTTAATTAAAAAATGTAACAGTAATGCCTTAGCCATTACATAAGAGCTTCGTTCCCTTACTATTTAGTTGCAAAAATAGCAGAAGAGCAAACTTTAAAAAAAAAAATTATTTTATGTCTTGCAGAGAAAATAGTTAAAGAAGATGATAACAAAAAATAGAAACACTATAAAATCAAACAATCTGTCACCAAAACAACAAAAGCCAAAAAAAAAATTAAAATGAACACAGGATTCTATTGCAGATTTTTTGTTGAACATCAATAAAAAAAATTGGAGCTTACTTAAAATAATAAGAACAACAATGGTGGCTACATTAAATTTAAGTCGGCCTTCTGTGAGATTTTCGGATAGGTTTGGTTCTAGGAGCATTTTCGATGCTCTTTCCGAAAATGGACACCATAAAGGCGCATCCCCAACCATTTTCCCACAGTGGGTCCAAACCCATTTCTCCTACAGTGACCATATGAAATATAAATCTGGCCACTGTGGGAATTCCAGATGGGTTTGGATTATGAGAATAAGTGGTCTAGGAGCATTTTCGATGCTCTTTTCCGAAAATGGACACCATAAAGGCGCATCCCTAACCATTTTCCCACAGTGGGTCCAAACCCATTTCTCCTACAGTGACCATATGAAATATAAATCTGGCCACTGTGGGAATTCCAGATGGGTTTGGATTATGAGAAATGTGGTCTAGGAGCATTTTCGATGCTCTTTCCGAAAATGGACACCATAAGGGTGCATCCCTAACCATTTTCCCACAGTGGGTCCAAACCCATTTCTCCTACAGTGACCATATGAAATATAAATCTGGCCACTGTGGGAATTCCAGATGGGTTTGGATTATGAGAATATGTGGTCTAGGAGCATTTTCGATGCTCTTTCCGAAAATGGACACCATAAGGGTGCATCCCTAACCATTTTCCCACAGTGGGTCCAAACCCATTTCTCCTACAGTGACCATATGAAATATAAATCTGGCCACTGTGGGAATTCCAGATGGGTTTGGATTATGAAAATAAGTGGTCTAGGAGCATTTTCGATGCTCTTTCCGAAAATGGACACCATAAGGGTGCATCCCTAACCATTTTTCCACAGTGGGTCCAAACCAATTTCTCCTACAGTGACCATATGAAATATAAGTCTGGCCACAGTGGGAATTCCAGATGGGTTTGGATTATGAGAATAAGTGATCTAGGAACATTTTCGAAGCTCTTTCCGAAAATGAACACCATAAAGGTGCATCCCTAACCATTTTCCCACAGTGGTCCAACCCATTTCTCCTACAGTGACCATATAAAATATAAATCTGGCCACTGTGGGAATTCCAGATGGGTTTGGATTATGAAATCATTGGTCTAGGAGCATTTTCGATGCTCTTTCCGAAAATGGACACCATAAAGGCGCATCCCTAACCATTTTTCCACAGTGGGTCCAACCCATTTCTCCTACAGTGACCATATGAAATATAAATCTGGCCACTGTGGGAATTCCAGATGGGTTTGGATTATGAGAATAAGTGGTCTAGGAGCATTTTCGATGCTCTTTCCGAAAATGGACACCATAGGGTGCATCCTAACCATTTTTCCACAGTGGTATAAACCCATTTCTCCTACAGTGACCATATGAAATATAAGTCTGGCCACAGTGGGATTTCCAGATGGGTTGGATTATGAGAATAATGATCTAGGAGCATTTTCGATGCTCTTTCCGAAATGAACACCATAAAGGTGCATCCCTAACCATTTTCCCACATTGGGTCCAAACCCATTTATCCTACAGTGACCATAGGAATATAAGTCTGGCCACTTTTCTTGTTCTGGCCAAAGTTCTTATAATTATTAATTTTTAATACAATTCATATAACATTTTATTGTTATATTATTTTCATAATTTTAACTTTTATTTTCTTTCACAACAAGCACTTTTGAGTTAAATTTAAATTTACTCTCACGAAAATGTAGTTAAATTTAAATTTATCTCTGAGAGAAAACCAGTGTTGGTAAGCGAAAAATCAAAGTAGTAGAATTTAAATTTAAATTTATTTTCACGCACATGATAAAAGTATTGGAAATTGTGACCCTTTGTGGGTGAGGTACCAGAAGGGGTTGGCCGATATATATCATCTTCAAAGCAGATATTGTGTTAGCAAAAATATTTGGATGTGTGAAATTTGAAGAGAGTTGGATGCTTATTTCCATATCTTTGAGCGTTTTGTTTTTCAAAAACATGAACCCTTGGGTACGTTAGGTTGTTGAGAAGTGACAGTTGTCCATTTACTTTACCTCTTTCGCACACCAAAAGACACATGCGGCAATTACATTTGCCTAATATAAATCAGGACTAATTGAATTATTAACATTTAAGTTTTTTCCAATCCTTGATTTTATTTTTTTTTTTATTTTTCTAAACAATAAATACATTCACAAAATAGGCAGGGCACACTTAGAAGCAAATTGTAATCAGCTGGTAGCTTTACCTTACCTTTTTATTGTACCATGATTGTAACTATTATTTACATAGAACACGGAGACTCTTAGGCTACAATATGTATTGTTTGGAGTATTTTGATTACAATTTTTGCTATTCTTCACGTCTGTAGAAGAAGTAATATTTTAGAAGTTATTCTGAATTATTAAGTGACAAAATAATAAATTTGCGACATATTCCAGACGCACTCTGAAAGCATAAGTACATAATACCTTAGACAAGAAAAAATCTACAGTTTTTGTAGCGAAATAAACCTTTAAATGTATATAGAACATGATTTTGAAAAGAAATCTTGACCTTTCATTCCGTTTTCGCAGTTTTCAATTATTTATTCAAAATCAATGCAACAAGTTGTTTGGTTTTTGATTGTTTTGATAGTAATTCTAACATTACAAGCCAAACAGCTAGACCTCTATATTTGCAATTTTTTCAAAGTCTTCACTGTACCATGCTTAGCCCTATTTTTCAAAAATATCGTATATTCGCAGTGTTAAAATAATTTTGTGGTATTCTGCACAATTAAGAAATGAACACAACTATACATTTAATTAGTCATAAATGTTGTGATTTGTCACAATTTTAACTTTATCAAATTATTCGGCTCACATTGAACTAAGCCATGTGACACATACATACATTTGAACACACCA